GTGCATTGGATTCAGAGGATTTCTCTGCATTTAAACAGCTCATTGGATTATAAAAATCAACTTAGAGATGATCATTTTAGCACAATAACTTTTGTTTAACAAAGTAACTTTTGTGAGCTATTGACCGCGGAAGTCCGAATCTGGGAATAGGACGCTACTTTACCAAACTTCTGCCGTGATGATGCTGCGGACACGGCCCACGCTGTCGATTGTCAACATTAAACCAATGTCTGTGATCAAGCCTACACCTCCTTTGACACTGATTGGTTGAAAGGTAGACGCTTAAACTTTGATTACTGTGTGCGCGCGTGTGACATGCAGTGAGTGAGTGAGTGAGTGAGTGATGCATTTAAGGTGGCTCTGAAAATACGGGACAAAAGCCGTCCTGTATCAGTTCAATACGGGACGCACATAGTTTTTCTATAATACGGGACAATTCCGTATTTCAAGGGACGGTTGGCAACCCTATACAGGATTGTTTTTTAATTTTATTTTGTTTGTAAGATATAGACCCATAGTCTTTGTAAGTTTGGACATTTAAGGACTACTTGTAAACTGAAAATACAAATATGAATTACAAGATATATACAAGTATATATTTATCATAATAATATTCAACTTTACAGTATTGTGACTCACCATACCCTGGCTGAATGTATACTTTATTGGCCGATTCTCAGAGGATTTGAATGATTGTCCCGCTCATGTTTAGTGATTTGGGTGAAGCCGTTTATCGTCCCATATGGGGTGACCTTTTGTATCATTCAAACCATTTTGTATCCGCTGAACCTCGCCCGGGTATTTAAGCTGTAATTCAGGGTCAAAAACGATTTACTTTGAAGAAAGATCTTTCTTTGGCATTTTAGTACAAAGAGTCGTCCAACCTTTCAAACACACTTTCAAAGGAAATTAAAAGAAATGTTTTTATAACACGGTGAAAAGCTCTTAACAGTCTATTAAGCGTGATAGTTTCCACTTAATATCGGGAAGACACGGACAAAGCAGTGATATAGAAGGACATGAAAACCCTCTTCTGAAGATGATAATCTGAGAGAAGACGAGGGGAATTGGATATTATTGTCCTATTGGTGAGACGCTTATGTCACGGTGCTCTGCGAGGCTGCAGCTCAGCACAAGGTTACTTTGCTCCATTTAAAAAGGATTAGATATCGAAACTGCACAATGTTAGAAAATGTTAGAGAAAGTTTTGCTCTCTCCAGACGGAGACAGGCCAAACATGGACAATGACTTGGACAATCATGACCATTTCATTTAGCACACAAGGGTTATTTAGCAGACGGCTCTTGAGACATCTGAACTCATAACTTTACCGCTGTTTGACCCAATGTAATCCTGATATTGTGCAGTTATGAATGTGTTCATTTTATAACACTTAAAACATCATCATTTGAATTAGTGCTAAGCCATGGTCAAACCAAACGGATATATTTTGCCTTTAAAATGTTTGCACACTTCCGTCTTTTGCACAAATCTTGAGTGATTCTATCCATGCCAAATGTGACATGTAAATTCTGGAGAGACTCGGACAGGCAAAACATGGTATTAGAACTGTATGTTGGTTGGCAGGTAATCTGGCACTGAATGAATTACACATGTGACACTAAAGACAATATTTTCAAGATTACATTCATTGTGCTGAATGTGGTTGGGATTTGGCGCTTAGACCCCAGGAGAGCAGTGCACGATTGCAGAAGGGGAAAGAGATTATGAGATGAAATCCCCCGGGGCCTAGACCCTGGTGGTAGTAGCTAGACGAAGGACGAAGGAGCTGGCCTGGAACGAGAAGGACATGGGGAGGAGGAGGGTTGCGGCGTGAATGAATCTGCTGCGTGGATGGAGCTTCGGCGTGATATGAAGCTGATGTGGGCTTTTTTGTCGACTGAAACCCAAAGAAAATATGATTAATTCCTGAACAACTTAATGATTTTGGATTACTTAAAAAAGCACTCCAGACTTGTCCATGGATCGCAAAACTGTTTCGATGTATTTGAAAGGTTCTGGGCTTTAAAATGGGGTATGACATACATAAATTCCATGTATGGAATTTTGTGACACAATCAAATAGCAAACGTCAGTATACATAAATAAAGTCAACGGCCGTATTTCTAAGGTCCTGAGCTTTACAAGGACAGCTCAGTATAGATTGACGGTATTGGTGAGGCTCAAGTTGGTGAAAGTTCCTCCATGGCTATTCTTTGGACATCCCTGATTTAGGGACACGATTGTGGGAAAGCAGGGCACTTCATGGAGGAATTCCTTTAATCATAAGCTTGTGCTGTTGATTGAATATGGGCAACCACCAGTTTCAACGTTTGGCCAAAATAAAGAAGAATGAAAACATGAATTGGGCACAAATATGTCCTAAATAACAATTCAATTCAATGTATTCTTGTATAGCCGTAAATCAACAGTAGTTGCCAACACAGACCAGATCACACAAGAAACACAAGAAATGCAATGAAAAAAAACACATTGCCATTGGTCCATAAAGGGAAGATGACCAATGTCCATAAATGTTAATAGAAATCCATAAAATGTGTTGAATGTCGAGTATCCTGGATCAACAGCACTGTCCTTAGACCCTGCAAAAAACCCAGTGGGAGAATGGTGAGAAACCTCAAGAGGCCCACAGTGCTCCCACTGACGGATAGATCCCAAAGATCCAGGACTCTGCAGAACGAGGACAACAGCCACAGACCAGCTCATGTGTTCTGAACTTAAAACATCCAGGCAGTGTTATTGCCCATAACAGCCTGAGAAAGAACAGAGACGAGATGTATCCCTTTTAAAAGTCCCATCTTCTCACAGCTGCAGTGATGCGAGCCTCAGGACCAGTCTGTGAATAAATCAAACGCTCTGTGCCCTGATAACTTCTCCTGTTTACACCAATCTGTCTCTTTTATATTTGCTTTCCCAGGAAACATCTGGCTGAAATTGCCCCCAAAATCTTCGGAGTTGCATCAGAGTCTGAGCTGCGAGGCACAGCACCTCGGGGTGATGGAGGATGCTTCATTAGAAACTGAGTCTATGTGAGTCCCCCGCTGCTTACGTGTCTTGCGTTGAAGGTTGTAATTCTCACTGGCACTGGTAGATGGCGCTTGTGATGTATCCACTGTTAAACGTAAGTGTTTTAAACCTTGAGAAGAGAATTAAAATGGAATTAAAATGTGCTTATGGACAAGTTTGCTCCAAAACACTATGACTCCATGAACTTACATTGAAAAGTAAACTCCTCTTCCTCTTGTCACAAACTGCTGTACATTTCAGACCATAGCAGTTCCACAGGTGTGCACAAGATGGTGGCACCTGGGAGCAGGAGGACACACCCAAACTCTGGAGAGGCTTTAAGGAAGTCCTGTTTGTAGTCCATTGTTCCCCATTTTATGTTTGCTTGTAGTTTACCATTCTAATGTGATGCTTTATTTAGTAAGTAAGTAAGTAATATTTATACTGCCTTTCACAGACCAGAGTCACAAAGCGTTTTACAATTGTTATTTTTGGGCATTTGTCCTCTCACTCCACACAGAGATGGGAACGGGGTATACATGGATACATGGATTAACAGAGACATAATCACCCTACTGTACAGAACCAAGGCAACTACGAATAAATGTGGGGTTTGACAAACTTCTACTGTTTCCTGGTGGCCTGTGTCTCCAGTTGGAACATTTATACACAATACCTCTGCCTTCGTTACCACTTGTGGCACGCTCACCATTATATGTTTAAAACACATGTTTTTTTTCAATATTATCTTTGTAAATCCAGATAGTGTCTCCTAACAACTGACCAATGAGAGGCTTACTGTTGGCAAGTTAGTAGCACTAGTGGAAACACATTCGCTGATTGGCTCTTTGGGTGTTGCTACCCACTCATTTGGCTCCTGACTCCTGTTCATGGGGCTTGTTTGAGTTCGCTCTTTCATCAGCTTCATCTCTGGACAGAACCGCTTCTCAGTCAAAGCAGCAAAGCCCTGAAACTCACCACCTCTGTCTGTGCGGGAGTTTAGTGAGATAGACATGGCTCAAAGAAAATCAAGTCTGCAATCATGAATCAGATGTAAATAACTGTGTGTTGTACATATATATTGTTTATATTGTGTCTCTTTGTGGTTACGGGTGTTCATTTTATCTGTATTTTAAATGCTAACTAGGAGATTCTATTAAATCTTTGCACACTGTGAGCCTGCTGTCACTTTGCCTCTGCTCAGGGACTACGGATGAAAACGAGCGTGTAGCTTTGTCCGATCTGAACATTTATTGTGCTGTGTCCCTGTCAAATGAATAAATGAATAAACACGATGGGTGACATCAGCACTAGGTGAGTTCGCTCCTTGTACATTCTAAGCCTTCATTGCCATAAAAGACCTGACTCATCTCCATCATAGACATTGTGTGCTTTTAACCACGTTACAAAATTAACCAGGGAGCAAAGCTAACACGAATAAAATATAAAAGAAATAAACACAAACCACACAGCACACATGCATGCACTGGCGGACCTCAACTGGAGTTACCTGTGAGACCATTTCTCGATTTGCATCCCGAGGGGTTAACCTGCCTTTTCCAAAGGACCACATGACGCCTAAAATGGAGAAAGGGCAGGCTCCTTTTGTGGCACCGGCACCTGCCACAGCTGATCAGTGGCATGTACACAACAAGTGGCGTTTAAAACGGTATGTGGGGAATAAATGGCATGTAAAGCGGCATGTGGGCAATAAATGTGCCACTTGTTGTCCACATGCCGCTTTACACGCCATTTATTCCCCACATGCCGTTTTAAACGCCACTTGTTGTCCACATGCCGTTTTAAACGCCATTTGTTGTGTACATGCCACTAATCAGCTGTGGCAGGTGCCGGTGCCACAAAAGGAGCCTGCCCTTACTGCTAAAATGGTACTATAGAACATAACAACGGCCTCCTTCAAATGGGGTGACAGCCTGAGTCTTTAAAACAAACATTGGTATTACTTTGATGAAATGCATTACCAGCCGAAAAACTGTGTGCGCACAGGAGCAGCAGGAGGAGAGCGGCAGGAGGAGAGCGGCAGGAGGAGAGCGGCAGGAGGAGAGCGGCAGGAGGAGAGCGGCAGGAGGAGAGCGGCAGGAGGAGAGCCGCAGGAGGAGAGCCGCAGGAGGAGAGCGGCAGGAGGAGAGCGGCAGGAGGAGAGCGGCAGGAGGAGAGCGGCAGGAGGAGAGCGGCAGGAGGAGAGCGGCAGGAGGAGAGCCGCAGGAGGAGAGCCGCAGGAGGAGAGCGGCAGGAGGAGAGCGGCAGGAGGAGAGCCGCAGGAGGAGAGCGGCAGGAGGAGAGCGGCAGGAGGAGAGCGGCAGGAGGAGAGCGGCAGGAGGAGAGCCGCAGGAGGAGAGCAGCAGGAGGAGAGCCGCAGGAGGAGAGCCGCGGTGGATGAGCGGCGTGGTCTCACAACAGCTCAGGGTCTGGGGTAAACTTAGCATCAGCTGTGGTCAGAAGCTAAGAGCTGGACAATGAGTGCACTTACCTGAGGAGAGACCCCTCACTGTGCACACAGTGTGTGTACTCCCAACGTGGAAGGGTGGGAGAGCTGGCTCAGCAGCAATGAATGAACCCTATTCAAAACATGCACCGCCTTATGCAGGCCCAAGACATGATAATGAGTTAAAAATAACACAAAGACCAAACTGGATGAAGGGAGTGATGAGCGCATGGTTTGGTTAAGACTCAATCTCCAAGCCAGAGGCAGCGACACGTGCTGTCACCACAAGGCCCACTGGGGACAGGTGTGTTGGTGCTGCCCACGGCGCACATTAAGAGGTGTGTGCTTACACCAACAGTGGCACAGGGAGTGACAGGCAGAAAGCAATGTTTACCCTTCACACTTGTCTCATGATACATTTGCTTCTTCAAATACGTTTTTATTTTACATTCAATGAAATGACTCATTATAATTTGAATTGGATTTACCTTCTCAAGGCCAGAACATGTGATATAAACATAGCAGCAGAAAGGTACACTCCTATTTGTGAAACCATTGAATAAATAGAATAGGAGAGGGTAATGGAATGCAGTGGTCAGTAGCGGTGAAGCCATCGGGGGCTCTTTCTTTAGAAAGTTGAGTGTCTCTGGAAACGTTCCCGTCGCAGCGTCTCATAACGTGGAGGAGTTTTGCTCGACTCTTTGTCTAGTCCAGTTAGCTCGGTGTGAAGTGGTCGGTTCTCACGCCTTCTGAGACATGACGGGTCAGAGGCTCCGAGGTCCAACGCACATGGAAAAACTCTGCTGGGAATCTATAGTTGACTATTTTTGCTTGTTTATCGCCTTAAAGTATATATTTTGTGCATTATTTTTGGTGCTTGAATACGCCATGATTGTTTTAGAACAATATAAATAAACATGTGCAGTGAAAATAACTTCTTAGCGAGAAAATTCCCACATCTACCACCAGAGGGAGATGTTTTTTTTTTTTTACAACATCAAACATTGCATGCAGAAATTACAGCCAAAGAAAAAGAACATCCATCCATCCATTTTCTTCCGCTTTATCCGTTGCCGGGTCGCGGGGGCAGCAGTCTAAGCAGAGACGCCCAGACTTCCCTATCCACACACACTTCCTCCAGCTCGTCCGGGGGGACCCCAAGGCGTTCCCAGGCCAGCTGAGAGACATAGTCCTTCCAGCGTGTCCTAGGTCTTCCCCGAGCCTCCTCCCAGTGCGACGGCGTCCAGGAGGCATCCGGAACAGATGCCCGAGCCACCTCAACTGGTTCTTCTCGACGTGGAGAAGCAGCGGTTCTACTCCGAGCTCCTCCCGTGTGACTGAGCTCCTCACCCTATCTCTAAGGGAGCGCCCAGCCACTCTGCGGAGGAAGCTCATTTCGACCGCTTGTATCCGCAATCTCGTTCTTTCAGTCATTACCCACAGCTCATGACCATAGGTGAGGGAGGGAACGAAGATTGACCGGTAAATTGAGAGCTTTGTCTTTCGGCTCAGCTCCCTCTTTACCACAACGGTCCGATACAGCGACCGCATCACTGCACACGCTGCACCGATCCGCCTGTCAATCTCACGCTCCATCCTTCCCTCACTCGTGAACAAGACCCCGAGATACTTGAACTCCTCCACTTGAGAAGAAAAAGAACATTACCTGTATAATTGCCTACATTATTATGGAGGCAACACTTTGTTATTAGCTGAAAATCAGGACGAGGGAAAGAAGGGATGGGGGGACGTGTTCAATCAATCCAAATGTTTATTTCATAACCTGTACAACTAAATGGAACAGAAAAAAGCACAGAATCGTCGATGGTGCTAAAAACAACTCTGTGACTGATGATTTTAATGGTGAAACTTAGAAACTCAAAAAAGATCATTTTGCAATAATATGTCTCTTTTAAAGGCTTCGCACCAGGTGTTTATGTTCCTAAAACAGATTCCTTTATTCCTTTCACCTGCTAGCTACCCTGCTTTTGCTTTTACTTGCAATTTAACAAACTTGTACCCAATACTCTTAGAATGTTTCCACAAATCCTTTTCATTCTCTCGCTTCTGCGTTATCCAGCATCGACAAAAGCCACTGCGAACAGAGAACAAGAGCAAGAAATCTATGGAGGAATTCTAAAAACACACCAAACTTGTTTATTTTATTACTCCTGCCAATTCTCTCCAATACGCCTGAAACAAATCTGCAGACTTTAAAATGGAATCTGTTTTAGGACCCTTTCGACTGCAAGCAAGTGGCACAGTAGTTTTGGCCTCTGATGACTTAATTATAACCAAAATATAAAGGAGGGTATATACTGTACTGTAGGTGTCTGAGGGTTGGGTCTAAGAGACTGTAGGCCAATGTCAACTTTAGCACACATCCAATCCACTTTATGTATACAGCACATTTTATAAAACACGTTTCCAAAGTGCTGCACAGATAAGTTATTAAAGATTAAAGTATACAAGTCTGCCAGCTTTAAATAAAAATAAAGTAAAGAACAATTAAAATAAAGCAATTAACTAAATACATAAATAAATGTAAAACAATAAAATAAATAAATGAAATAATAAAATAGAGGACCACACAACTCTTAAGACGAGACTTAAAACATTCCAACGAGGGAGCTGTTTTGACGTGGGGGGGCAGAGCGTTCCACAGCCTTGGTCCAGTCACAGAGAAGGCCCTGTCCCCCCGGGTTTTAAGTCTCGTCTTAGGCACCATGAGCTAGAGCTGGCCCTCGGACCTCAGCTCGCAGGGCCGGTAGTAAACTGGGGCCAGTCCGTTCAAAACTTTAAAAACAAACAATAAAATCTTAAAATCAATTCTAAAATTAACAGGAAGCCAGTGCATAGAAGCTAAAACAGGAGAAATGTGCTCACGTTTTTTGGTTCCTGTTAAAAGCCGTGTCACGGAGTTCTGGACCAACTGTAAGCGTGAAGGTGCCTTCTGTGAAATCCCAGTGTAAAGTGCGTTACAGTAGTCCAGACGTGAAGAAATAAAAGCGTGCACGACTCAAAAACTTTAAAAGATAAAGGCTTTACCTTAGATAAAAGACAAAGGTGATAAAAGCCTGATTTCACAACTGTGCTGATCTGCCTGTCAAAGTTAAAATCACTGTCCATGGTGACGCCAAGGTTGGTGGCAAAGGGATGGACATTATCCCTGAGGGTGCCCAGGTCCAACAGGGGATCTGTGGACCCAAACAAAACAATGTCTGTTTTCCCCTCATCCAGGTGCAGAAGATTTTGTGCCAACCAAGCCTTGACGTCACCAAGGCATTTATAACACCATCTGCCAGAGGTAAAATATAAAACAGTAAAACTCAGTTGGTGTTTAAAGCCAATTACAAATGTGTCTTTAGACTTGAATTCAAAACCTCCAATGAGGGAGCGGCTCTAAGGATCAGAGGAAAACCAGCAAAGGCCTCGTCTCCTCGAGTTTTGAGTCGAGACCTGGACACAATCAACAATCTCACTGATCTGACCGGAGCATACAAAGATAACAGCTCTGTCAGGGACCAGAGAGAGAGACCAGAGAGAGACCAGAGAGAGACCAAAGAGACCAGAGAGACCAGAGAGAGGAACCAGAGAGACCAGAGTGAGATCAGAGAGCAACCAGAGAGAGAGACTAGACAGAGACCAGAAAGAGAGACCAGAGAGAGACCAGAGAGAGACCAAAGAGACCAGAGAGACCAGAGAGAGGAACCAGAGAGACCAGAGTGAGATCAGAGAGCAACCAGAGAGAGACCAGAGAGAGAGACTAGACAGAGACCAGAGAGAGAGACCATATAGAAACCAGAGAGACACCAGAGAAACACCAAAGTGAGATCGGAGAGAGAACAGAGAGAGACCAGACACAGACCAGAGAGAGACCAGAGAGAGAGACGAGACAGAGATCAGAGAGAGAGACCAGAGAGAGACCAATGAGACAGCAGAGAGAGACCAGAGAGAGACCAGAAAGAGAGACCATATAGAGACCATATAGAGACCATATAGAGACCATATAGAGACTAGAGAGACAGAGAGACACCAGAGAGACACCAGAGAGACACCAGAGAGACACCAGAGAGAGACCAGAGAGAGACCAGAGAGACACCAGAGAGACACCAGAGAGAGAACAGAGAGAGAACAGAGAGAGAGACGAGACAGAGATCAGACAAAGACCAGGGAGAGACCAGGGAGAGACCAAAGAGACACCAGAGTGAGATCAGAGAGAGACGAGAGAGAGACCAGAGAGAAACCAGACAGAGACCAGACAAAGACCAGGGATAGACCAGAGAGAGACCAAAGAGACCCCAGAGTGAGATCAGAGAGAGACCAGAGAGACCAGAGAGAGACCAGAGAGAGACCAGAGAGAGACCAGAGAGAGAGACCAGAAAGACACCAGAGTGAGATCAGAGAGAGATCAGAGAGAGAACAGAGAGAGACCAGACAGAGACCAGAGAGAAATAATAACTCTAGCTGGAGCTAATAACCACTATTTCAGTGTTATTCTGCTAATTGTAAAACAAACAAATGGTCCAGTTTTTTTCCCTGAATGTGTGATTTGACTGTAAAATGAGAGAAACAACATTATAGCAACTTTTAATATACGCACATCGTTATGTCGATCTTACATTTAGTTGATTCGATCTGAAAAAAAAAAAAAACTGTTGTTCATCCTTGATACATTTGATCCTTACTTGTTTATTGTGATAATTACCCATGATTATCACATGTTAAACAATAGAAGATAAATTCACAAGATCATGGAGAGCCTACAAAGTGCAAACCCAGCTGAAAATGTCTTATAAATATCTTATATAAATGTGTTTGTGGTAAATCTAGGCTCATGTTTTCCTTATTAGAAGCATGTGTTTTGCAAAGTGTGATTAATTATACATAGCTTCTGACTCTTACGGTAAAGCTCACAAACAGAAGTCAGTGCCATGATTCACAAGTCAACACTTTCCACAAGCAGCGGCTGATGTAACTGTGAACTTCAGC